TTTGTTGCTCACAATTAAATCATATTTTGATTATCATATATGCAGACTTTTCTCGTATTATTCCAACGTGTTTCTGCTTTTACGACCACAGTGTTCAATACTTTTTCCCTGTGCCATTCCACATTATTACAAATAACTTCATTTCTGGACATTTATGGTTTGATTTCTTTGTATGTATGGATCACTTGGGTTGTTACCGACATCTGGTGAAAATTTCATGTCATTAGCCCCTCTAGTAATATATTTACTGRGAAAAATGGTGACGTGTTCAATACTTATTTTACCCGCTGTATGTGTCCACATTTGCTTCTGTACATATGTCAAGGACATCTACATGTACATACTACATGTTCATACATACATACGTATATACTTACAAATATATGTACCGAAACATCACAGTACACACACGTACATAATAAAAACCAACTTGTGTGCATACGTGTTCATATATAATGAAACATACACACCTAGTCATTCAGATACATCAGTATGTAGAATAGATACACAAGACAAATAAATAAACCTATAACCAATACACACCAGCTGGTGTTGTGCTCGTTGGAGTACTCCGCACCGATGAAGCTGAAGAACATGGCAAGATGGAGGACGTAGGACTGGATACAGGCTGGGACTCTTCAGGGTCAGCTAAAGATTCAACTGATTCTGTAATGAAAATGATTAAAACAGTCAATCAAACTAACCACAACAATTAATTAATTAATTTGTTAGTAACGCAGCACACTGTGTACATGAACAGACCTCTGGCCCCCGTGATAGAGCTTTCTTCTTCATCCTGTGTGGCCTGCTCGTCGGCCTCCACTGCGGCCTGCCCGTCGACCAGCTCCTCCTCGACTCTGGCTGGCGTGTTGCTCGTCGTCTCCCTCGGTGCGTAGAACGGCTGGAGGAACGACAACACCGCCATGTACTTCCACTCTTGCTTGGTCGAAGCTGCCGAACCACTCCGTCTTTCCCTTATTTTTTTCATCTCCTTCGCATATGAGTCGCGCAGTGTCTTCCACCTTCTCCGACAAGCGTCCACTGAACAAACACATCGCACGTTGGGGCTGTACTTCAATATGCCTTCGGTACGATCAATTCACGGTATCACAAGTTTCGCAAAACTTACCTGACACGCCGACTTCCTCGCTGACCCTCCTCCAGGCAAGTTCCCTTTGCTTGTTCTTGTTCGGGCAGACACTCGAATCATAAAGGATTGGGTTTTTACAAACAGCGACGATCAGCTTGTCCTCCATTTTGTTTGTTGTTGTTGTGATCTGACTTCGCGGGCTTTTCGTGGATATCCGCCTCGTCATCAGTACGCGACTGAACAGAGTCTCTCTGATTGGTTGATGCGACGTGGCGAGCAGCCAAAATTCAGATTTTCCAAGTCGTCCGTCGGCCGCTTGGAACGTGCCTCACTGCGGCAAGCCGGATTATTCACTAATAATCCTCGCCCGTCTGGTTAAAAAGTCAAACGCTTCGAAACGTGCTGCTCCAATGCCGCCAGACGCGCTGCTCGGCTGCTAATAGACGCCCCTAGATGCGCGTCCACCACAAGGAGGTTCTGGAGGAGACGAGTGCGCAAAGACCACGTGACCGTGTTATCGGCTGGTGAAGCTAACGGCTAATGCTAAACGGGCAAGACTGGATTTCCCATTACTGTAAATGTTGGTGACTGAGCAGAAAAAAAGAACTGACAATGTAAAAATCATTAAAACTATTAATAATAATATTAATCCAATTATTATTAATATTTTACAGTTTATATAATCTAATCATATCTATGCCAGAAAAGCTG